GAGATCATCTACTCCCTGGGCTGGATGGTTGTAAATGCCGTCCTGTGCGTGTTGTCGTGGTGGCGCTGCTTCGCTAACAACTACCTGCACTGGGGCGCCCTCTGCACCTGGCTCGTCCTTAACATACAAGGTCAGTAACACCTTAATCCCTGCCACGGAGGTCGCGGCTGTTCGATCCCATTGCATGACCTGTTAGATGTTTAAAGTTTTCAGAAAAATTCCACACAAAATCCTCATCTGAAAACCGACTCAAAGGGACGCAAATAAATTAACAATTCCGTTAAAACACATAGAAATCATTCCACGATTTGAGTTTCAATCTGGTAAATGGTTTTAATCGGGTAATATTGGCTTCCCATCTAATTTTTTTTTAATAGAAAGTGACTCCCTTTCACCCCAGGGGCAGAAAACCCTCGAACCACAACCCGGGTGCTGGCTGCTCACTTAACACGAAATAATGCAATTAAAAATCTCTGAAATGTGAGTAATTGACATTAATTACGGATTTAAAGGTGTAAATAGAGATGGAGATAGTGTGTGTTGGAGAAAAGAATTTCAGAGAGAAGAGAGTGAGAGAGTGACAGGCAGACAGAGGGACAGGTTGAGACGGAGACGGACAGAGGAAGGAAGGACTGAGGGAAGAGAAAGGAGAGAAAGTGAGAGTTAAGACAAAAAAAACGATGAAAGAATGAGATAGAGACGCACAGATTTTGAAGACGAACAGGGAACATCGCTTGGCCAGTATCGCTCCTACCCACACACAGCCGTCTCCTAGGACCCCCAGCCACACAAAGCTATCTCCTAGGACCTCCAGCCACACACAGCCGTCTCCTAGGACCTCTCAGCCACACACAGCCGTCTCCTAGGACCCCCAGCCACAAACAGCCGTCTCCTAGGACCTCTCAGCCACACACAGCCGTCTCCTAGGACCTCTCAGCCACACACAGCCGTCTCCTAGGACCCCCAGCCACACACAGCCACCTCGTAGGACCCCCAGCCACACACAGCCATCTCCTAGGACCCCCAGCCACACACAGCCGTCTCCTAGGACCCCCAGCCACACACAGCCGTCTCCTAGGACCTCCCAGCCACACACAGCCGTCTCCTAGGACCCCCAGCCACAAACAGCCGTCTCCTAGGACCCCCAGCCACACACAGCCGTCTCCTAGGACCCCCAGCCACACACAGCCATCTCCTAGGACCCCCAGCCACACACAGCCATCTCCTAGGACCCCCAGCCACACACAGCCATCTCCTAGGACCCCCAGCCACACACAGCCACCCCCTAGGACCTCCAGCCACACACAGCCACTTCCTAGGACCCCTAGCCACACACAGCCACCTCCTAGGACCCCTAGCCACACACAGCCGTCTCCTAGGACCCCAGCCACACCCAGCCACCTCCTAGGACCCCCAGCCACACACAGCCACCTCCTAGGACCCCTAGCCACACACAGCCGTCTCCTAGGACCCCCAGCCACACACAGCCATCTCCTAGGACCCCCAGCCACACACAGCCGTCTCCTAGGACCCCAGCCACACCCAGCCACCTCCTAGGACCCCCAGCCACACACAGCCACCTCCTAGGACCCCTAGCCACACACAGCCGTCTCCTAGGACCCCCAGCCACACACAGCCGTCTCCTAGGACCCCCAGCCCCACACAGCCGTCTCCTAGGACCCACAGCCACACACAGCCGTCTCCTAGGACCCCCAGCCACACACAGCAGTCTCCTAGGACCCCCAGCCACACACAGCCATCTCCTAGGACCCCCAGCCACACACAGCCGTCTCCTAGGACCCCAGCCACACCCAGCCACCTCCTAGGACCCCCAGCCACACACAGCCACCTCCTAGGACCTCCAGCCACACACCGCCACTTCCTAGGACCCCTAGCCACACACAGCCACCTCCTAGGACCCCCAGCCACACACAGCCATCTCCTAGGGCCCCCAGCCACACACAGCCGTCTCCTAGGACCCCCAGCCCCACACAGCCGTCTCCTAGGACCCCCAGCCACACACAGCCGTCTCCTAGGACCCCAGCCGCACACAGCCGTCTTCTAGGACCCCTAGCCACACACAGCCATCTCCTAGGACCCCCAGCCACACACAGCCGTCTCCTACTACCCCCAGCCATACACAGCCACCTCCTAGGACCCCAGCCACACAGCCACCTCCTAGGACCTCCAGCCACACACAGCCACCTCCTAGGACCCCCAGTCACACACAACCACCTCCTAGGACCCCCAGCCACACACAGCCATCTCCTAGGACCTCCCAGCCACACACAGCCACCTCCTAGGACCCCCAGCCACACACAGCCGTCTCCTAGGACCCCCAGCCACCTCCTAGGACCCCCAGCCACACACAACCAGCTACCTTCCGCTGTGTAGGGCGTGAAGATGGACTGAAGAGCTAGGCAGCGAGAGTGTGTAGTAGTGGTGGATTAACACCGGGATTAGGCCAATCCACCCTCGCTAAATCCACACACACACTCAGCTTGGCCTTGTGTCTGGAGGTCGAGGAGGCAAGTGGAGGGTGACCTCTGACTTGAGTGAGTTCATAGAGTGCGAGGTGTTGAGAGATTACTGGGTCTCAAGCTGTCTCCTAGGACCTCTCAGCCACACACAGCCATCTCCTAGGACCTCCCAGCCACACACAGCCGTCTCCTAGGACCCCTACCCACACACAGCCGTCTCCTAGGACCCCTACCCACACACAGCCGTCTCCTAGGACCCCCCAGCCACACACAGCCGTCTCCTAGGACCCCCAGCCACACACAGCCGTCTCCTAGGACCCCCCAGCCCCACACAGCCGTCTCCTAGGACCCCCAGCCACACACAGCCGTCTCCTAGGACCCCCAGCCACACACAGCCGTCTCCTAGGACCCCCCAGCCCCACACAGCCGTCTCCTAGGACCCCCAGCCACACACAGCCGTCTCCTAGGACCCCCCAGCCACACACAGCCGTCTCCTAGGACCCCCAGCCACACACAGCCGTCTCCTAGGACCCCCCCAGCCCCACACAGCCGTCTCCTAGGACCCCCAGCCACACACAGCCGTCTCCTAGGACCCCCAGCCACACACAGCCATCTCCTAGGACCCCCAGCCACACACAGCCATCTCCTAGGACCCCCAGCCACACACAGCCGTCTCCTAGGACCCCCAGCCACACACAGCCATCTCCTAGGACCCCCAGCCACACACAGCCATCTCCTAGGACCCCCAGCCACACACAGCCATCTCCTAGGACCTCCCAGCCACACACAGCTACCTCCTAGGACCCCCCAGCCACACACAGCCGTCTCCTAGGACCCCCAGTCACCTCCTAGGACCCCCAGCCACACACAACCAGCTACCTTCCGCTGTGTAGGGCGTGAAGATGGACTGAAGAGCTAGGCAGCGAGAGTGTGTAGTAGTGGTGGATTAACACCGGGATTAGGCCAATCCACCCTCGCTAAATCCACACACACACTCAGCTTGGCCTTGTGTCTGGAGGTCGAGGAGGCAAGTGGAGGGTGACCTCTGACTTGAGTGAGTTCATAGAGTGCGAGGTGTTGAGAGATTACTGGGTCTCAAGCTGTCTCCTAGGACCTCTCAGCCACACACAGCCATCTCCTAGGACCTCCCAGCCACACACAGCCGTCTCCTAGGACCCCCCAGCCACACACAGCCGTCTCCTAGGACCCCCAGCCACACACAGCCGTCTCCTAGGACCCCCCAGCCACACACAGCCGTCTCCTAGGACCCCCAGCCACACACAGCCGTCTCCTAGGACCCCCAGCCACACACAGCCATCTCCTAGGACCCCCAGCCACACACAGCCATCTCCTAGGACCCCCAGCCACACACAGCTGTCTCCTAGGACACTGTTTTGAAGGACTAAGAATTGTTCCTCTTCTGTCGTCAAGTATTGATCGCGTCGTGATGGGGATTGATTATTGCAATCAACCAGATGTTGTTTATTAAATGTCTTGAGTAATCAAGGCTTTCAACCGTCTTGGGATATATTAAAAAATAATATTATTCGTAAATATACTAAAAAATATATTTTGATCCGTTTTTTATGATCGTCTAAATTACCGTTTTCTTCTTCTTCTTCTTGATCGAATATAATTTATGAGCCAATTTCAGGGATATAAATCCTGGCTATAAAGGTCTTTATGTAATGAATATATTATTGGTATGATTTTGTCCAGGGTTTCATTGGCTTCAAACGCTGTGGGGCCTGTTCGTACCCTGCTGTCTGTCTGTCTGTCTGTCTGTCTGTCTGTCTGTCTGTCTCTGTCTGTCTGTATGTCTGTCTGTCTATCTGTGTGTCTGTCTGTCTGTCTGTCTGTCTGTCTGTCTGTCTGTCTGTCTGTCTGTCTGTCTGTCTGTCTGTCTGTCTGTCTCTCTGTCTGTCTGTCTCTCTGTCTGTGTGTCTGTCTGTCTGTGTGTGTGTCTGTCTGTGTGTCTGCCTGTCTGTGTGTGTGTCTGTCTGTCTGTCTGTGTCTGTCTGTCTGTCTCTGCTGTCTGGCTGTCTGTCTGTCTGTCTGTCTGCCTGTGTCTCTGTCTGTCTGTCTCTCTGTCTGTCTGGCTGTCTCCTGTTGGTCGTCCCTCCTCCCGTCTCTCTGTCTCCTGTGTTGCAGAGACGCAGTGTGGGTGTAGAGGTGTGGGTGTAGAGGTGTGGGTGTAGAGGTGTGGGTGTAGAGGTGTTGGTGTAGAGGTGTGGGTGTAGAGGTGTGGGTGTAGAGGTGTGGGTGTAGAGGTGTGGGTGTAGAGGTGTGGGTGTAGAGGTGTGGGTGTAGAGATGTGGGTGTAGAGGTGTGGGTGTAGAGGTGTTGGTGTAGAGGTGTTGGTGTAGAGGTGTGGGTGTAGAGGTGTGGGTGTAGAGGTGTGGGTGTAGAGGTGTGGGTGTAGAGGTGTGGGTGTAGAGGTGTGGGTGTGTGGGGAAGAGAGAGCTAAGCCCCTGCAGTTGCTCACATTGCACCATTAGCGTCAAACAATCAGTTGCAACTTGGAGAAGAAATATTTCGGCAATCCATAAGGGCGATGGGACAAGGGCATCCAGCAGATTAAATTACTCTGCAGACAATCCATAACTCCTGAAGGTGGAGGAACTGCAGACGCAGGCCAGGGCGGCGCCCCAGGGGTCAGGGCGGCGCCCCAGGGGTCAGGGTGGCGCCCCCAGGGGTCAGGGCGGCGCCCCCAGGGGTCAGGGCGGCGCCCCCAGGGGTCAGGGCGGTGCCCCCAGGGCCCCAGGGCGGCGCCCCCATGGGTCAGGGCGGCGCCCCCATGGCCCAGGGCGGCGCCCCAGGGGTCAGGGCGGCGCCCCCAGGGGTCAGGGCGGCGCCCCAGGGGTCAGGGCGGCGCCCCCAGGGGTCAGGGCGGCGCCCCCAGGGGTCAGGGCGGCGCCCCCAGGGGTCAGGGCGGCGCCCCCAGGGCCCAGGGCGGCGCCCCCAGGGCCCAGGGCGCCCCCAGGGGTCAGGGCGGCGCCCCCAGGGCCCAGGGCGCCCCCAGGGGTCAGGGCGGCGCCCCCATGGCCCAGGGCGGCGCCCCAGGGGTCAGGGCGGCGCCCCCAGGGGTCAGGGCGGCGCCCCCAGGGGTCAGGGCGGCGCCCCCAGGGGTCAGGGCGGCGCCCCCAGGGGTCAGGGCGGCGCCCCCAGGGGTCAGGGCGGCGCCCCCAGGGCTCAGGGCGGTGCCCCCAGGGGTCAGGGCGCCCCCAGGGCCCAGGGCGCCCCCAAGGGGTCAGAGGTTCTCCTGGAGACGTAAGGACTGACTGGGGGGTGGAAGACTTCTTCTGAGAGGTCGTTGTCTGGGACACATTGGCCAAATACTCGTTCATGTACTCAAGATACAACTTAGACTTAATCATGCGGCAGCCTTCACGTACCTTCAAGATGTGCCGGACCAACCGGGCTGTGGTGGATATGTGGGCCTTCGGGCCGCTCCAAGCAACAGCCTGGTGGACCAAACTCTCACAAGTCAAGCCTGGCCTCGGGCCGGGCTTGGGCAGTAGAAGAACTCCCAGAACCCCATCAACCAGGTATATGTGGGCCTGCGGGCCGCTCCAAGCAACAGCCTGGTGGACCAAACTCTCACAAGTCAAGCCTGGCCTCGGGCCGGGCTTGGGCAGTAGAAGAACTCCCAGAACCCCATCAACCAGGTATATGTGGGCCTGCGGGCCGCTCCAAGCAACAGCCTGGTGGACCAAACTCTCACAAGTCAAGCCTGGCCTCGGGCCGGGCTTGGGGCAGTAGAAGAACTCCCAGAACCCCATCAAGCAGGTATATGTGGGCCTGCGGGCCGCTCCAAGCAACAGCCTGGTGGACCAAACTCTCACAAGTCAAGCCTGGCCTCGGGCCGGGCTTTAGGAGTAGAACTCACAGAAGCCCATCCAGGTACAATCCAGGTCTTCACTAAGGCTGAGGCAAAGGTGAGAGGGGGAATAATACCCCCCATTTTCTACACTTTGGAGGCCTAAGCAATCAGAAAATACTACCAAACAGGAACAGAAACTGTTAAGAGTGAGAAATATATCCAACGGTGCTTCATTCACTCCCAATTTTCGAAGTGCACCTTTCCAAACTCTTCACTCGTTTTCTATAATAACAAATTAATACCGACACAAAATAAACACACAGTCTAAGCTATTCTAGGCCTAGATACATACAAATCTATGTCATATACACAAATTTATATCTAAGGAAATACTAAGTACAAAGTGGGGGGATGGACTGGGCTCCCTCTCCCCTTGAATAGTGGTTTGCTTACACGTTTTGACCAAGGACTAAATACCAGATCATAACAGCTGTGAGAGGGTGACTAATGGCGCCTCATCCCAGAGGAGAAAATTGATTTACCCTCTCGTTATATCACAGGAAATAACCGCGTTGTTGTTCCACCGTTCCTCTCGTTGTTAACGAGTTGTGGAGAGCCGTTGCCAACCTCTCGAGATACAAGTTAACGACATACACACATTTTTATTTTATTTTCTGTCTGGCTTCGAACCTCCAAGTGCCTCCATGATGACCCTTTGGCACTTTGGGTCGTCCCAATTACGTCCCGGGCTCCTAATTACTCTACACGCAGTTACTATTTTGTAGGGACTTCGGAAGGGGAGGTATTTTTACTCCATTCCGTTGTAGACGGCATTGTTCGGTTGGAGCTGGGATACTAGGACCAGGAGCTGGGATACTAGGACCAGGAGCTGGGATACGAGGACCAGGAGCTGGGATACTAGGACCAGGAGCTGGGATACGAGGACCAGGAGCTGGGATACTAGGACCAGGAGCTGGGATACGAGGACCAGGAGCTGGGATACGAGGACCAGGAGCTGGGATACGAGGACCAGGAGCTGGGATACTAGGACCAGGAGCTGGGATACGAGGACCAGGAGCTGGGATACGAGGACCAGGAGCTGGGATACGAGGACCAGGAGCTGGGATACGAGGACCAGGAGCTGGGATACGAGGACCAGGAGCTGGGATACGAGGACCAGGAGCTGGGATACGAGGACCAGGAGCTGGGATACGAGGACAAGGAGCTGGGATACGAGGACCAGGAGCTGGGATACGAGGACCAGGAGCTGGGATACGAGGACCAGGAGCTGGGATACGAGGACCAGGAGCTGGGATACGAGGACTAGGAGCTGGGATACGAGGACCAGGAGCTGGGATACGAGGACCAGGAGCTGGGATACTAGGACCAGGAGCTGGGATACTAGGACCAGGAGCTGGGATACTAGGACCAGGAGCTGGGATACTAGGACCAGAAGCTGGGATACGAGGACCAGAAGCTGGGATACGAGGACCAGGAGCTGGGATACGAGGACCAGGAGCTGGGATACGAGGACCAGGAGCTGGGATACGAGGACAAGGAGCTGGGATACGAGGACCAGAAGCTGGGATACGAGGACCAGGAGCTGGGATACGAGGACCAGGAGCTGGGATACGAGGACCAGGAGCTGGGATACTAGGACCAGGAGCTGGGATACTAGGACCAGGAGCTGGGATACTAGGACCAGGAGCTGGGATACGAGGACCAGGAGCTGGGATACGAGGACGAGGAGCTGGGATACGAGGACCAGGAGCTGGGATACGAGGACCAGGAGCTGGGATACGAGGACCAGGAGCTGGGATACGAGAACCAAGAGCAGGGATACGAGGACCAGAAGCTGAGATACGAGAACCAGAAGCTGGGATACGAGAACCAAGAGCAGGGATACGAGGACCAGAAGCTGAGATACGAGGACCAGGAGCTGGGATACGAGGACATGAAGCTGGGATACGAGAACCAGGAACTGAGGGAAAGAGGGAGGGCTATACCACCATATACCAATTATAGAATCTGATATACCCATATCAGAGTCGCGTTTCAAGCTCTGTTCCTCCAGATTTATACAAAATCGCCTCAATTATATCTCGACTTCACAGACATACAGACATGGGGGTAGATTCACGAAAGCACTTACGCAAGTACTTACGAACGTGTCCATCTTTCCTCAATCTTTGACGGCTTTGGTTACATTTATTAAACAGTTTACAAGCGTGAAAACTTGCCAATCAACTGTTGTTATTGTTATAAACAGCCTCCTGGTGCTTCGGAGCTCATTAACTGTTTAATAATTGGAAACAAAGCCGTCAAAGATTGAGAAAAGATGGACAGGTTCGTAAGTGCTTTCGTGAATCTGGCGCATGATTTTTTTCTCGTATAAATTGACAAACTCGCCCTTCAATTAGTGAAGAGAAACACGAATTTATAAAAACATAGCGGGATATATTAGCCAAATATAAATGTTAAAAATAATTTGCATTTCCAATTAATTACAAGGGAGGAATATAGCATAATAAATATGCTTGACTGACATAAATTTGAGACCTGAGTTCAGAGGACAAGGTTAATACCAGGAATTTAGGAAGTTTCTTTATGATATCATCTTTATGATATCTTTATGATATCATCTTTATGATATCTTTATGATATCATCTTTATGATATCTTTATGATATCATCTTTATGATATCTATAAGATATCTTCTCAAGATATGATGGGACATTGTAAACCTTAATTTACGTTGTCTAGAAGGCGAAGAGTTGAGGTATATAATTCAAGTATAATATAAAGAGTATAATTCAATGTGATTGAATTATATAGGTGGATGAAAGGGTATGACAAAATTGGGGATATAAATATAATGCTCAATATACCAACACGAAACATTGGGTATCAGTTGGGTAAGTTTAGATTCAAAGACCTGGGTAAATACTGGTTCAGATTCAGGCAAGACCTGGGTAAATACTGGTTCAGATTCAGGCAAGACCTGGGTAAATACTGGTTTAGATTCAGGAAAGCCCTGGGTAAATACTGGTTTAGGTTCAGGCAAGACCTGGGTAAATACTGGTTTAGATTCAAGAAAGCCCTGGGTAAATACTGGTTTAGATTCAGGAAAGCCCTGGGTAAATACTAATTCAGATTCAGAAAAGCCCTGGGTAAATACTGGTTTAGATTCAGGCAAGACCCGGGTAAATACTGCTTTTGGATATAGGGTTGTTGATTAATGGAACAAATCGCCAGGTCACATAATGGACGTGGGATCGCTGGATTGTTTCAAGCGTAGGCTAGACATTTATATCAATGAGTTCGGGTAGATTTAAATAGGAGCCGGATCTAATAGATCTATCTAGACCTTCTGCAGTGTACTATATTCTTATCATGAGTAGGATTTACTAAGCTGTTTAGGTTGGCATGTTATCCCTGTCACTCTTTGAGCACTGTAACTTTGCTGCTCTCTCTACTGTCACCTTAAACAGTATAAGCTTTTATTCACATAATTTGTGTCAGAAAAAAACAGAACAGGGCCCAAATTGATGCCCTGAGGCACGCCTCGTGTAATATCTGTCCAGCCTCCAAAGGATACCTGATCAACCAGGCTGTGACTCGTACGTCAGGCTGCGAGCAGCCGCGTCCAACAGCCTGGTTGATCAGTCCGGCAACCAGGAGGCCTGGTCGACGACCGGGCCGCGGGGACGCTAAGCCCCGGAAGCACCTCAAGGTAACCTCAAGGTAACCAAGGTAGCCTGACGGGTGGACGGATCCTTCTGTCTGGATCTACACTTTGTTTGCCTCCAGAAACAACAAAGTGTTGTGCTGACCTATAACACAAAAGGTTGTAGGTCGTTTCCGTACTAATAACAACAATACCTTTACTGGTTGTTTGCGTCTTGTAACCACAAAGAACCATTTGTTTAATGTATTATAGTAGTTTGGATGATGATTTGTATCAAGTGAGCAAATACTGAAGCTTTACAATGGGATCGAACCTGCGTCACTGGCCTCTCTCCAGGCTTATCCACGAGGGTTCAGTCCTATCGCATCAAATTCTCTCTGAAAGTCCGGATATATATATATATATATATATATATATATATATATATGTCGTACCTAGTAGCCAGAACGCACTTCTCAGCCTACTATGCAAGGCCCGATTTGCCTAATAAGCCAAGTTTTCCTGAATTAATATATTTTCTCTAATTTTTTTCTTATGAAATGATAAAGCTACCCATTGTATTATGTATGAGGTCAATTTTTTTTTATTGGAGTTAAAATTAACGTAGATATATGACCGAACCTAACCAACCCTACCTAACCTAACCTAACCTATCTTTAAAGGTTAGGTTAGGTTAGGTAGCCAAAAAAAGCTAGGTTAGGTTAGGTTAGGTAGGTTAGGTAGACGAAAAAACATTAATTCATGAAAACTTGGCTTATTAGGCAAATCGGGCCTTGAATAGTAGGCTGAGAAGTGCGTTCTGGCTACTAGGTACGACATATATATATATATATATATATATATATATATATATATATATATATATA